ATTTTGTTACCAATATTTATCGAATTTTCTATTGATATTTCTCGATTTTTTGTCGATATTTGTCGATTTTGTTATCGATATTTATTGATTTTGTTATCGATATTTATCGATTTTGTTATGGATATTTGGTTTTTTTATCGATATTACTCGATTTTGTTATCGATATTAGTCGATTTTGTTACCGATATTTAACGATTTTTCTTTTGATATTTATCGATTTTTTGTCGATATTTGTCGATTTTGTTATCGATACTTATTGATTTTGTTATCGATATTTACGGATTTTATTATGGATATTTGTAGATTTTGTTATCGATATTTGTGGATTTTGTTGTCGATATTTATCGATTTCGTTATAGATATTTATCGATTTTGTTATTGATATTTATCGATTTTGTTACTGGTAATTTTATAGATATTTTTATCGATTTTGCTATCGTTTTTGTTATCAATTTTACTATTGATTTTGTTATCGATTTTGCTATCGATATTTTTATCGAATTTGGTATCGATATTTTTATCGGTTTTGTTGTCGATATTTCGATTGATCGATAGAGTATAAAGATAAATGAAAACGGAATAAAATAAATGTAATTAGAACAAACAGAGTAGATGTGGGGATACATATACATATACATAGAAAAAAAAAACAAAAAAAAAAAAATAACCCTAAGCAAAAGCAGATGTATGTATGGACATTTGTATATTGGTTATGAGCAGGGAACGGATTTTATGGAAATTGCCTTTTTTTCTGCTAAAGAGATAGAGTATATTCGATTAAGAATGTCCACGATTTAGCTTTCTCTGATTCCATATATACACATTTGATGTTGCCTTTTTTAAGATATTTGCTTTTTTTTGCCTTTTTTAAGATATTTGCCTTTTTTTCCTTTTCTACCTTTAAAAAAGTGATTATAGCATTTACAATTTTTTTTTTAAGATTAAAAAATATACACATGCCCATGCGGCTTATAGAAGCGCGGGACCTCTTGCCAAACTGGTGTTGGAAAAATTCAAAGCCGTTTTTTCAGCTAACGTAGGCTTAGAGACAATAAGGGGTGTGGATAAAATTGTAAAGGGTGCGGAAAACGCCCTTAATCGCGATAATATGAACGTTTCAAACGTTCCATATTTAAATTATTGGTTTTCTGCACCTTATTGACCGCAAATGTCGAAAAATTAAAACGCTAATTTGTTTCGTCAAATTAGTATTTTATTTAGTTATGTATGCATTTCGGTTGACAGCTGATCAACCATCATCAGCGCGCGACTACTGAGCACTAATCAAAATAGACAAATAGACAAACAGGTACAAAAGTTGTGAACATACATACAAACATAAATACATACATATGTATACATCGAAAAATAACTTTTATACAGAGAAACACATTAAAAAATATAAACAAAGGGAACAAGTGGAATTGGCATAAACAAAGGAGTTATTTTACTTTCTTACACAGCTAAATAGTGGAGAATTAATTGCGCCAGGTTCTAGGTTCATTAAATTTTTTTTTTTTTGCTGGATTCCTAACATTTTTTAATAAACGAACATTTTCTTCCATCGATATCGAATTGTGTGGGCGAGTGTTGTTGAGGTCGAATGCATGTGCGGCGATAGCGTTGTCTATCTTTTTTAATCTTACTGCGCGTAGATGTTCTTCTATTCGTGCACGTAGCGACCTCCTTGTCTGCCCAATATATTTGCAGTTGCAATGCGAACAGGTTACTTCGTAAACTCCGCTCTGTTCTTCCGTCGGCAATTTGTCTTTGGTGGAACCAAGCGCATTTCTCAGTATGTTATTGTTGGTGTAAACTACTTGCAAATTGCATTTTTGGAAGGCGTGCTTCAATGTATTTGTGATGGCGGGAATATAGGGTAATAAAACACGCTGTGGTTGAGACGACCTTGCGGTGCGATTTTGTAAGAAAAGGGTGCTCTCCTTGTTCCGTCTTATTCGATTAGATTGTTTACTTATCAGCTGATCGATAAGTGATCTCTTGAAGCGATTTATGTCTGCTATGTGTTTTATTTGTTTATATTCTTCCATATAGTCTTGTGCAGACAATGACAAGGAGCAGAGTCTGTAAACCATTGAATTAAATGATGACAATTTTTGCTGATATGTGCAATAGGAGTCATGTGTAATGTATCGGTCGGTCGATGTTGACTTCCGATAAACGCCAAATTCAATTTTCTTTCCTTGTCGCTTAATAAGAATATTAAGAAAAGGTAGAGAACTTGTTTTCTCGTCTTCCTTTTCAAAAGTGAATTTGATACTCGGATAGCGGCTGTTGAGTGTTCCGAGTATTTTATCTATGTCGGATATTTTCACTACGGCGAAAGTATCGTCTACATATCTAAGCCAAATTCGTGGCAAAACACCTTCACTTTTGAGTTGCGATTCGAAATTGCACATTAAAGCTTCTGCTACATATGGTGATAGACTGTTACCCATGCTACAGCCGAAGTTGTTGTTGTAGTAAACGCCGCGAAATTGAAAGCAATTGTGCTTCATACAGATTTTAATAGCATTTATGTATGCATTGAACTTGTCTTCAGGTAAACTGAATTTATTTAAGTGGTTATGAATTGCTTCAATGGCCGTATCGACAGGAATCGACGGAAAAAGGGCTTCAAGGGCGTTTTAATTTTTCGACATTTGCGGTCAATACCACAAGCTGACTTAAATTTTGTGATTAAATTTACAAAAGAATATTTGTTCCATATTTAAATTGGGCTCCACTTGTATCACCTTACGTCGAGCGCACATTTAGTACATTCAAGGCCCTTCTTCGCGAAAATCGAATGAAAATGCTGCCAGAAAACTTCAAAATGCATCTTGTGGTTCAATGTTACTACAACTATACAGATTAAAGTCTTATGAGTTAGAAACTCGAAGGGATAAAATAGTCAAAGATTCAAAGTACAAATTTTTCATATAATGAAACTAGTTCATAGTCTTTCTCTTTTTACTTGTAATATAAACATTTCTAAAAAAAATATATTTTTTGATTGTTCTTCGTATTTTCTGTCTTTTTTTAGTGCCTTATTTTGCTTTTTTGCAATACCTTTTTTTTGCCTTTTTCGCTATTTTATTTTGCCTTTTTTACAATACCTAGTGCCTTTTCCTGCCTTTTTCGCTATTTTATTTTGCCTTTTCCAGCCTATTTCGTTACTTTATTTTGCCTTTTTTATAGGGTTTTAGGTCCTAAAAATCCGTTCCCTGGTTATGAGACAAACTAAATATGTAGCGTAAGTTTCACTTCACCAGTGTGGCCCAGAGGCACTTTCTTTTTTTTCGATATCGAGTATGGCATAGCCATTTTCTTATTACTGATTTTTGCGCCAAACAACATCAGTGACTGATTTAATAGACTAAACATACCAAATTTTTTTATAGAAGTTCTTATTAAAAAGTTAGCAATTTTTAAGAAAATTTTTTGATTTTTTTCTAATTTTTGCAAAAATTTTCGATTTATACTTTCATAAAAAAGTAATGAAAAATATATAGAATGGAAAAACATTGCGAATACTGTAATAATATCACTGTGTGATTTTGAGTGTGGGTCACTGTTACATATGTACCTCATATATATGTATGTATAATAAAATTTTCTGTTGGTAAATGGTTCTATGCATTTTTTGAATGAGTAGATTTTTTTCAGTGTTTCATTGTAGAATTAAAAATTAACGATATATATCGATATATCGAGTTTTTCTCTCTTATATATCGAAAATATTGAGTACGGCGAATATCGATACTTTTGCAGCTCTACTGAATAGAGTCGTACGACATTAGTTTGCTTTAAATGTGGAGATGCGGGTCACATTGCATTGAAATGTTCAAGGAGTAGCAGTCAGATTTCAACCAACAAACTGAATAGCTATGAAATGAGGGTTGAGGTATGTGATGTGGTTGAACCTACGGGAGTGTTGATCCAGTCTGGTGAGTCGTTCCAATTTTCTTTTCATTCCGGTGCTGAGTGTTCGCTTTTAAAGGAAGCCATTTCAAAGAAGTTTGCGGGGAGAAGAATTACCAATATTGTTGTTTTAAAAGACATCGGAAATGTCTCGATATGCAATTCTTTGCAAATATTGGCAAAAGTTAAAATTAGTGGATTTTTTCTTGAGGTTTCACTTCATGTGGTTCTCAATAGTTATTTAAAGCAGGGTGTTATGATTGGCCGTGGAATTCTAAGCCAGAGTTTCGGTGTTATGATAACCTCTAACAAGTTTCACATTTTTAAACAGAAAATTGCAAATACATCTTATGACTCGTTTATTGTAAATACTGAATTAATATTATAAATATATAAAAAATATTTTTTAAAAACAAGCTTTTATTTAACATGTACAATCAAAGGAATAAAATAAAGTAGTGTAACAAAAGATTTTTTAGCAAGGAAATTTTGTCAAACCCGCACTAAAATTATTAAAATAAAATAAGTTAAGGTCTCGTTAAAGTTACTAAAAGCCATTTAGTAAAAGGAGTTATTCAAACTCTAAAGAAAATTACTAACAATTTGTACTAATTTACTTCGTTTTTAAAAAAGCTTGTCGCGCGAATAGCAAACCGGCATTTAAATATCTGCATACATACATATACATACCTAACCAATTATGCATGTACGCTGAATTCGCCGACAAGCGTTTTTAAAAACGTAGTGAATTAGTACAAGTTGTTAGTAATTTTCTTCAGAGTTTGAATAACTCCTTTCACTAAATGGTTTTTAGTAACTTTAACGAGACCTTAACTTATTATAATTCAACTTGCAATGAAAGAGAACAGAAGACTTGGCAAGCAAAATGTTGTTTGCTTACGTTTTGTATAAACATACATATGTACATATAGCAGCAGTTAATTTTATTTAAAGAAATGGCGTGTCGTC